AATGGCACCACGTTTAGATCATGACAATGGCATGCAACTGCTGATGCTGGAAACAGAATGTTGCGCAGAAGCGGGAACTCAGTCTTCAGATGGGTGAGATCTCATTCGAGAGAGGGCTACGAATTTCCTGCAGAAGAAAGCAAACCAGTAGCTGATGAGTACGTTGTTTAGCGTGAGGGCTTGAGCAGGCTTGGAAGGGATTGCATTGTGGAAAACTAGAAATAAAGGTCCTTTTTTTTTTTTTTTTTAGGACAGAGTCTTGGTCGGGTCGCCCAGGCTGGAGAGCACGGTGGATGTCTCAGGCTCATTGCAACCTCTGCCCTCCGAGCGGTTGCAAGCAATTCTCTGCTTCAGGCTTCCTGAGGTAGCTGGGCTAGTTGACCAGGTAGCTGCGTCAGAGCCGCGAGCCCAGCTAAGTTGGTTTGGTATTTTTGTAAGGATGGAGTGTGTCACCGAGTGTCGCCAGGTTGCTCGAACCTCCTGGGACGCTCTGGTGATCTTGGCCGCCTTGGCCTGCCCAAGTGCTGGAGTTACCAGCCTCGTGATATAATTGTAAAAGAAAAGCAGGCTGGAGGCACCAGTGGGCTGTACACTGTAATCCCAGCAATTCAGGAGCGTGAGCAGGCTGGATCACTGAGGTCAGGAGTTCGAGAGCTCAGCAGCTGACCAATAGTGAGGTAAAAACCTGGTCTCTAATAGAAATGACGAAAAATTGTAGCCGCCAAGTGTGGGGTGGCTGCGGGTGCCTGTAGTTCCAACTCTCAGGAAGCTGAGGCGGAGAATTGATGTTGAACCTGGAGGGGGGAGGTTGCAGTGGAACGAGGAGGTTCGCGCGCCCGACGCGTGCAGCTCCAGGTCTGGGCAAGGAGGAGTGAGATTCATCTCAAAAAAAAAAAGAAAAGGAAAACAACCCAAAGAACCAAAAAAGCAAAATTAGCCAGACCATGGTGGCATGTCCTGTAAGTTCCAGCGTATTCCAGTGGACTGAGCGGTACGAGAAATCGCATTTGAACCAGGAGAGCTGAGGTTGCGGAGGACCTGAGATTGGCGCCACTGCACTCCAGCGCTGGGGCCAACAGTGAATGCCATCTCAAAACAAAACAAACAAAAAACGAAATGTAGGCAGGTGTGCGTGGCACATTCCTGTGTAACCAGCTACCAAGGGAAGCTGAAGCAGGAGAATCAGTGAACCTGGAGATGTGGAGGTTGCCAGTAAACCAAGACCAGACCATGCACTCCCGCAAACCTGGGTGGCGAGTGAAATTTCCTCAAAAAATAAACTAACTAACTAAATAATAAATGAAAAATAAAAGAGAAAAGAAAAGCATGACCCCAACATTTAATTTAGAGATTCTAGAATCTTGCAGTGTGGTGGGTCTTGCATCTTGTTTGATTCTCCTCTACTATCCGACCACGTGAAGGGCAGGGTCCTCTGTGGTCCGACTTCTGGAATAGAATGCCGCACTTAAATGGTGGAACAGAACGGAAGGTCAGGATGACTGGTGAAGATGCCCGGTTGCAATGGTCATTAAGATTAGGTTTTCTGAAGGACAATATCAGTCACATACATGGATATCGTAATTTGACGTATGGACAACTGCAATGCCTTTCTATTATATTCATAGACGTTGCATTGTCTATGTAGTCACAATCAATTTGTAGAGGTATGTTCATTACCCAAGAAAGAAGAATCCTGCCCCGGTTGGCCGTCAGCCATCAGCCGCAGCGCGCGAGACCCCCTATGCGCCTTTGAGACGCGTAGTGCACCCGTAATGACGACTCTGTTCGACGTGGAGCATGCCAAGGTAGCTGAGCAGCAGTCACACACTATAATGGCGGGCCTTGTTCGCTTTCACTTAGCATCATAGTTTTCCAGTTGCATGCCAGGGTGTGCAGGTGTCTCGTTTTCGAATTCTGTGTGCAGCGGCTGCAACCGTATTCCCAGAAGTGTATGTCAGTTATCTATCTGTTGCATCACGCTGACGGCCGTTTGGGTTTTGCTGTTTTGGGCGGGCGTATGTATAAATTAACGCTGCTGTGGCAGCATCGCCCCCGCCTTGTGCGCAGTATAATCAGAAATCCAGATTTTTTTGTTTTTGTTGTTTGTGAGAGGCCAGGAGTCTCGGTTGTGTGGCGAGCTGGATGCAGTGGTGCAATCGTTGGCTACCGCGAGCGCGGGGCAGGTTAGGGAGTGCGGGCCGGCGTGAGTGCGGGGATTAGCAGCGCGCCCAGCCGTTGTGTGTTGTTTTGGTTAGGATGGAGTTTGCTGGGTCCAACTGGAGTGTAGTGTCGATTCTTGGGGTTCAGCAGAACTCTGCCTGCGGGTGTTAAGCGTAGGTCTCGGCTGACGCTCAGCGCTCGAGGGGATGAGAGGCGACCCACGCTG